TACAAGTTTGTCCTAACTATTCCATAACCTCAGAAAACAGATTCCTATTTTAATCCCAAAATGAAACTAAATCGACAGCTAATATTTTGTACATTGGCTGCTTTGGCTGAGGAACAAAAGCCTTTGGTATGTCTAGATGCCTTTGGAGCCACTGGTATAATGGGATTGCAATGGGCAAAACACCTTGGAAATGCAGTTAAAGTTACAATTAATGACTTAAATGAAAACTCAGTGACATTGATTCAGGAAAATTGCCATTTAAAACAATTGAAAGTTGTGGTGGACAGTAAAGAAAAGAAAGAAAGTGATGATAATCTTGAAGAAGGAGAGGAAAATCTTGGTAATATTAAGGTGACCAAAATGGATGCCAATGTACTAATGCATTTGAGATCTTTTGATTTCATACACCGAGACCCTTTTGGAACTTCCGTGAACTACCTAGATTCTGCATTCAAAAATATAAGAAATGCTGGCATAGTATCAGTGACTTCTACAGGTATCAGTTCCCTTTTTTTTTTTTTTTTTGGTACCAGGGATTGAACTCGGGTCCTTGCACTTGCACAGATATCAGTTCCTTATATGCCAAAGCACAACATGTTGCACACCGTCACTATGGATATAACATTGTCCGAACTGAATATGATAAGGAACTAGCAGCCAGAATTGTTGTAGCTGCAGTGACAAGAGCTGCAGCCAGATGTAACAAAGGCACAGAAGTACTATTTACAGTGGCTCTAGAACATTTTCTCTTGGTGGTTGTGAGAGTTTTGAGGGGACCTACTTCAGCAGATGAAACAGTCAAAAAGATTCAGTACTTGATCAATTGTCAGTGGTGTGAAGAAATAATTTTTCAGAAGGATGGTAATATGGTAGAAGAAAACCCATATAGACAGTTGCCCTATTAACTGTCATGGAAGCATGCCTGGAAAGACAGCAATAGAACTTGGACCTCTGTGGTCAAGTTCCCTTTTTAACTGGGTTCCTCAAGAATGCTATTTGTGGGCCAGGGATTTAGCTCAGTGGTTCCGTCACCTGCCTCACAAGTGCAAGGACCCGAGTTCGATCCCTGGTACAAAAAAAAAAAAAGAATGCTATTTGAATCTGTACACCATGGATTGGATGACATTCAGACCCTAATAAAGACACTTATTTTTGAATCAGAGGGTATTCCTCAGAGTCAATTTTCAGTTCATGCACCTTCAAATCTCAACAAGCAAAAAGAAAATGGTGTACCTGTTAAAACTACAGATGATAACACTACAGATAACACTGCACAAGGAAAGAGAAAAAGTAGTGAAATGATTACAAATTTAGTCAAGAAGCAGGCGGGCCAGGGATTTAGCTCAGTGGTTTCGCCGCCTGCTGCGCAAGTGGCAAGGACCCAAGTTCAATCCCAGGTACCAAAAAAAAAAAGAACCAAAAGACTGATGTCATTACTGAACATCCTCTCTTCTACCACAACATCCACAGACACAGCATTAAAGGAATGAACATGCCAAAGTTAAAAAAGTTTTTGTGCTATCTTTCTCAAGTGGTCTTTCGAGTAAGCCGAACTCATTTTGACCCAATGGGTGTTCATACAGATGCACCTCTGATACAGTTTAAATCTATCCTTTTAAAGTATAGCACCTCCACTTACACTGGAGGACAATCAGAAGGCCATGTCCAGTCAGCATCAGAGGATACAGTAGCTGTCAGGGCTGAAATGTCAGTGAATGACAAAGCCAAAGCAAGTAGCTGCAGAAGATGGTAGATAGAGGGAAGTTATTCTCAGGTGTCTGTACAGATGGCTCAATAGTTCTCTACACCAACTGTAGTTTTTTTTTTCTATTCTTTCAATTCAGTGATATGAAAATAAAAAACAGTGCTGCTTTCATTAATAAAATTAGCAGTTTCCAACTTAGCTGGTTTGGGAGCTTTTCAGGTTTTTCTTTTTTGGTACCAGGGATCAAACTTAGGACCTTGTGCTTGTGAGGCAGGCGCAGTGCCACTGAGCTAAATCCCCGGGAGCAAGTTTTTCTTATTTTAAAGAAAACTAAATTTTAATGGAAACATTTCATATGAAGCCAAGGTTCTGACTTAGATCACCCTACTATTTAGTAATTCAGTAAATTTTCACATGCTTGGTGTTCAGAATTCATGAACATTGGAAAGCCATCCTTTACTATTCTTTTTTCCTTTTTTACCCGCTTCTTCAGTGCTGCAGATCAAACCTGGAGCCTCATATATGCTAGGCAAGGCACTTATGACTGAGCTACATCCCCAGCCTTTTTTTGTTTTTTGGTTTTTTTTTTAAGGCAGATTCTTGATGTGTTACCCAAGCTGTCCTGGAACTCCTAAGTAGCTGGAACTACAGATATGTGCTACCATGCCCATGTTATGCTTTATTATTCTTTTTTTTTGTACCGAGGATCGAACTTAGGACCTTGTGCTTGCAAGGCAGGCAGCAGAACCACTGAGCTAAATCGCCAGCTGCTTTACTATTCTTAAGCATGTTTCTACTTGAACTGATTTGTGATATTTGTTTTTCTGTGGTTAGTATACAAATGAAATCAAAACTTTTTACATATCAAAATGACCCAGACTATATAAAAACAACATTCTTCCAGGTCACTCATATATTTCACAAATGCAAAGCTAAAATATTTTCTCATTTTTTAAGAAATCATACTCCACACACTGATCTTTCAATTTATTGCTGGCTTTTGAGCAATACTTGCCTGAGACAGAAATACATTTTTTACAAGTATGTAATCTAGATGACCCAACTTCATTGTAAGATTTTTGTCAAAATACATTAAGACCTCTGTTATAATTGTTCACAAGTACTGAAATCCCAAAGAGGAGAGATTTTGTTATGAATTAAACAAACTGGGGGATCTCAAGTGCCTCAGTTAATGCATGTCCAGTATTCATTTGGTTAGTTGTGCTACCTACCACTGAGAAGTAAAAATTGTCACCCTATGAAGTGAAGATTTTTTGGTTTTAGAGTTGTTTTTTTCCTTTGGTTGGTTTTTCAAGTTTTGTTGTGTGTGTATATTTGTGTAATTTTTTTGGTAATAGTTGCCCAGACTATCATAACTATAAAAATCAGTTGAAAAAATTATCTTGTTTGCATTAATATCATTCTTGCTTCATTTGAATATAAAATTTTATGTGAAAGGATTCGGTATAAAGTTTAGGTTTTTGTCTCAATGATTTACATATTTACCTGCATTTCTCAAGGGAAGTAACTTTTTACAACCATTAAGCTGTGGTACATTCATAAGTGAAAGGTTTGAAAACACTGCATAAGAAAAAAAGCTCCCATGACATACAAAATCTAGATGATGGGGAGGATAGAGTTAGATGAACACAGTTAATTTAGCAGAAATAAAGGAAAATCTCCATTATTACAACATGTTACCCAAAGGATACTTTTCTCTCTCTCTCTCCCACTACATTTCAGTAAAGTAAGGAATAAGTGAAATGCAAGTTAGTTTCTGTGACTATAAAAAAATCATCCACTCCAATTGTTTCCTAATAAAATTATATTACAAAAAAATTATATTACAAAAATTTTTAAAAATAGAATTATATTACAGATGAGCACAACAGAAATAAATGTTATTTTTCATTTGCATAATTCAAAAGAAAAACTACTGTAAACCCAGGAAGCAAACTAGTGCTTGATTATCTGATTAAAGTACATATTGTTAAATTGAAGATCAGTGTCAAATTTTGCTAAGTGTTTACCAGCATGACATATTGGTCAATGCTGAGATGAATTTTATACAGAGAACCTAATTTGATACAGAAAAATGTAATTATTATCTAAAGTATGTATGTAGTCGGCCGGGGATTTAGCTCAGTGGTTTCGCCACCTGCTGCGGAAGCACAAGGACCTGAGTTCGATCCCTGGTACCAAAAAAATAAATAAATAAAAATAAAGTATATATGTAGTACATTAATTTCACATATAAAGGCAGGTTTTCCAAAGAAAAAATTGGCACAAAATAGTTTAAAACTCTATGATAAGGTACATCAACCTAAAGAGGAAGTACTTTAAAAATTTCATCTTGGGCCGGGGATTTAGCTCAGTGGTTCCACTGCCTGCCTGGCAAGTGCAAGGACCTGAGTTCAATCCCTGGTACCACAAAAAAAAAAAAAAAAAAAATTTCATCTAGTTCTACATTAGCAATCTTGTTCCCCTAACAACAGTTGTGATTTGGGACACTCCCAATGTTGACTGCATTGTAAAGTGATATTACTTGTGTTTCTTCATTAAAATTTCAGAAACTAAATTAATTAATTAAAAAAATAAAAAGTGCTCTACCACTGAGCACTTATTTAATATGTGCAAGACCCTCGGTTCCATCCCCAGCACTGCAAAAAATTAATTTTAAAAAGAAAAGGGAAAGGAACAGGAAAGGAAAAAGTTCACTCCACAATAGAGGAATTGAGAATGAACAAAATACATCAGAACAATGCTGTTCTTGAAATGCTGTTGAACACATATTGCCATGGAGTATGATTCACTCAAGGAATCTCTGAAATAAGTGAGGTAAGTGTTGTCATCCCAACTACTTTCATAGGTAGGAAAGCTGAGGCTCACCAAGTTAACACAACTCACATGCATTCTCTCATTTAGAAATGTCACTTACTACCTGCTTCCTCTGTACCAGCTTCTATGGTGAGTTATGCACGTAAATTGGTGGTCAAAGAGGCCTATTGTACTCCTGCCATATGGCAATGCTGGGGTGATGACTAAAATCAGAATCCATAGCCCATGCTCAAACTACTACATCCATCAGCCCGGGCACACACACTGCTTCCCTGGGCCCACTTTGATCCTCAGAACACTACCCCGCCCTCCATAGATGCTTGTAACATTGAGGTGAGTCCTCACTCTGCAGCGATGCCCACATGCAGATTAAGTGAACCCAGACCCACCCAAGATGTACTCACTGTCCACCTTCTCCCACCCGAACTGCTGCCACTGGAGCAGAGGTGCTCCTTACTTGAGTTTCTCTGGGTCTTTGGCTGGCAGCATTATCAACACCATGGAAGACTTCTCCACAGCTGAACAGGAGACCACCATGTTCAGCTGAGGGACAAACTTGACCAGCTGACACCAGCTGGTATGGAGAGCCTAGGGAAGAGAGGGGTGGTAGGATCATCCCAAGTCAATTGCATTCTAGGCCTGGTCCCTGGAACCCTGACCCAAGGGTAGGGGGCAGAGGGGATTTAAGGGCCGGGGATTTAGCTCAGTGGTTTCACCGCCTGCCTCGCAAGCACAAGAATCCGAGTTCTATCCCTGGTACCAAAAAAAAAAAAAAGAGGGGATTTAAGATCCTTCCCCTAGTGATCACAGCTTACAGAAGGTGATATGGCCACAGTCCCAGCCCAGGTCCAGGGATCAGGGGAGTATGGTTATCCCTTGTCTCAGAAAGTGCTTATAAGTACACGAGCCTAATATACTTTGGGCTTTATAAGTTAGAGGGCAAGTGAAGTTAATCCATGTTAATACCATTCTCCTAAGAGGGAGAAAAGATGGATTCAATGCTGCCCAAGCCCCAGTCCATCCTCCCAGAGAGCTTCCACCACAAGAGACCTGTGCTGTGGGCCCACTGTCACACTCGTCTGTTCACGTAGTATGCTTGTGGGAAAATGGCAAGAGTGAAAATGTGCATTCTGCTGCAACTCTAGCAACAGAAAGATAAAACACACACACTCACACACACACATACATACACTCACACTCAGAGGAGGTGATCCCATGGCCGACTCTGGGTATCCAGCTCTGCTCATGACCTGGATCAGCACTCAATCTCCCAAGTTCATCCTCTCTGGGACAGGAATGGAGTAGAGCGAAGGATGAGGAGGCCAATTAGAGAAATCTAATCATTAAACATGGTTCCGGGCCTCCCACGTGCAAGGCATCAGGCTGTTTTAGGTCACTATCTCACTGAACACCTGTGACAATGATGGCATGAATCGCAAGGCACTGAAAGAGACATGGGACATTAGGAAACTCAGACAGAAAACCCAAGCCCAAGATGAGATTCCCAGAGAGGAGGAAAGGAAGGGGAGGTGGGTCCCTCTTCCTGAGAAGATCCCACCTGCTCTGAAAGAAGCACCTAGGAGCTTTGGACCAGACTTGCTCTGACCATCTCATGTCTTCATTTGTTCAACAAATGTCCTAGGAACCACAAATCCCAGAGAGTGTTTCAGGAACTGGAGACAGAACAGAGAGCACTATGCACACAATCTCTGTCCTCAGGGAGCTGTCAGTCTCAAGGATGACAGAACAAGAATGGATGGACAACACAAAATTGGAAGTGGTAAACACTGCAGGCTGACAGGATAAAGGCAGAGGCAGGCAGCAGGTTGTTCTAGCTGGTTGGTTAGGGCCTGAAGAAGAGTGATATACCAAAACCTGGGGAAAGAGTACTGCAGCCTAAAGGAACAGCATGTGCCAAGGCCCTACAGTAGGAAAGGGCTTGGGTTGTCAGGGAAAAGCATGTAGCAGAGTGAATAAGATATGTAAAAAACAAGACTTGGAGCAAGCCAGGGGCCAGATCACCTTGAGCCGTAATGGTCAAGGCAAGGACTTGAGACTATTGTTTCAAACATGATGAGAAGCTATTGGAGTGACAGTTTCTAATGCATAATTCCCCCAGCTGCTGAATGGAGAATATGCTGGTGGAGAAAGGAAGTAGGGAAACCAGCTAGCAGCCCTGCAGTGATCCAGAAGAAAGATGAGGTTTGCAGGACCAGGGTATAGATATGAAGGCAGTGTGAGAGATATGACCACACCCCACATATTCATGTATTCTCTAGATGGGCCCATGGGACCCAACAACTGCCTCCACCCTGTTTTTACAGCCCATGCTCCAAAGGCTAAGAGTGAATCCAGGGCATAAATCTACTTTTTGCATTTATTTGTGAATGGTACATGCATAAGGATACAGTATAATCAGCATGGTAACAGGCAAAGGAAAGAAGTAGCTTACCGGCAGCAGCCAATAACTTCTGTACAAAATGGACTTCTCATTTAAGAGTTTCTGCATGGAAACGCTGACCCAGTGATCTGACTAGAGAAAAAAACTGAGGTCCACATCATCAGCCTTCCTCCTTTGTCAGAAAGCAAATCTCAGGTGACAGGTGGAGTGGGAGTGCAACACCTTCATGTCACAAAAAGCTTTGCTGGTCAAACATATTGGAGCCTTGCTGTGACCTGGTGAGCTCAGCACGTGTCTCGGCTCCAGTTAATCTCCACCTAGGCAGGTCACACTGCCACCAGCATTCCCTGCCGGTAATGAGATTTCAGGGCCTAGGGCTGGGGATTTAGCTCAGTGGGACCACACCTGCCTCACAAGTACAAGGTCCTGAGTTTGATCCTCAGTACCAAAAAAAAAAGAGAGAGAGATTTCAGGGCCCACACTCTCACAGGTGCTGCAATCTAAATGAGCTGATTCTACTACCAAGCTCCAACTTTGCTGGAGAATGAACTGTCACTGTAGGCTGTAGTCATCCTGAAAAGTAGTCCTCCAAGGCATCTGCCACTGTGCCTCTAGAAACACGTGCTCCTTTCCAGAAAACACAGTTACATGAACTAGAACAGCATGCACTACGGAACAAGCAACTCCAACATGCCAGGAACTGCATGCAGCACAGTCCTGCCCTCACGGGACTGAGAGTCTCCAGACTGCTGAAACCACCCAAGGGCAGCAGCTGATAAGCCTCCAGGGAAGGTAAGCTGATGAGTGGAGCCAGTAGTACCAAGGGACAGGCATGAGCCCACCCTTAGGAGCAACTTAGGGAGGCAGGTTGGAAATACCAGACAGTTTGGCCTCAGATCTGACAGCAACTCCCAGGGAATATGGAAGAAAGAAAGGTGGGGGTTTGTGGGCTTATGCCAAACAGTTCACTTCAGCAAGTCACCAGCCTTATCTCCAAGGTCAGGAGGAAGCTTGCAAAGGAAGTCCCAAGAGGGGAGAATGTTGTTCAAGGCTGTGTGGCCCTTAAAAATCTTGTGTCCCTAAACAGAGTAGCTCCAAACAGCTTCCTTAGTCAATTTGGGACACAACCCAGCAAGTGGTTTAAAGTGTAGATGATCTGGTTTCTGATCTCAGCCATCACTTATAAGATACAAGCCGTGTACAAGTGGATTCAAGGGGCTAAATAATAGCTACCCCTCATGGCAGTGGGCAGAGATTACAGAAGGCATGCACTCAAATTTATTTATGTTCCTGCCAAGTCAAGTGGTCCTCCCAGTCCCCCAGAGCCCACCTTTCCACCCCACCCCACTCACCCAAAAGCAGTTCAAGACCAAGGAGAGGAGAAACCATCTCAAAACACTCACTTGAGGAAGTTCGTGGGATGCCCAGCCTCAGGAGGGAAGAGGGGCTTCCCCAGGTCACAGCCACATGCATCACTCTTATTAGGATGAGGACAGTCCTGCAGCACCCCTCACCAACTTGCACAAGCCCCTGCCTGTAGGAAACTGCCCCTCTTCTTAGCTCATCTGGGCCACTAAGCCCAGCAGCCTGCATACCCTCTGAGCTCTGAGGTCCAGAGCAGGGAGAGGGAGAGGGCCTGCGGAGCCAGGGGAGCTTAGGAGCTGCTTCTACCCTCACTCCAGGTCCAGCCCCATTCCCAAGACCCTCAGTTACCCCATTTGGAGGGCCTGGGAAGGATGCGGGGGTTGAACAGCCCATTGGCCACATTGTCAGAGGTGAAGATGATGACATTGCCCTTGGTGTCCCCAAGGCAGAACACACCTTTGTGATAATCAGACCTGAGGAAAGATGCAGACAGAGGAGGCTGTGGAGCCTCACCTATCTTGATCCCCTCCATCTTGGTCCCTTCCAACAATCCCCTCCACCTTGAGAATAAGGACACTTCTCATCAACCTCCCAGCCTCGCCCTAGACCTGTGCCATGCTGAAAGCACAAGCCCAGTGGCCCAGGTCCAGGCCACCATTGAACTGGAATTCAGTATTTTGTTTAGGCCAAAATTAATTAATCCCTAGTCATCCAATTGGTCTTTGACAAGTCATCTCCCCCTAAGACTATGATGTTCCCAGAATGCTCAGCCATATCAGGACCAGGGCTGGATGGCTGATTGAGTAGGGGAAGGAGAAGAAGCAAATATTACTCCAAGCTCAGAGCCCCCAAGGTGGCCCCCAAGAGAGCAGTGGCTTGAGGGGAAAAGGACACAGAGCCCAGAACCAGAGGGGTATAGATCTTTCCAAGCCTATTCCCAAGGGCCTCTCTGCAGCCCCAGCCTTACCTGCCCAAGTGATGTAGCAGCTGCCAAGACCCTTCACCCAACTCCTTTGGGACTCACCAGTAGCCCATGACCAGGACATAGCTGTCCAGTTCAGTAAAGGTGAAGGCTGGGACACACTAATGGTTACTGATATCAAAGAACTCTAGAGAAGACAGAAGAGAGGGCACACCTAAAGGCCAAACTCACACATGGGCTAGGATGGGGTCTGGTGGTGGTGAGCAGCCTTACAGCATCTCTCTTGGCCCTTCAGCCCTTGCCCTGCGAGTGAACCCATAAACCCACTCAGCCAGAACCTGCTGCAAACTCTCCCACAGCTTCCACGCCACTAGAGTAGGATCCCCAGTGCCTGACCACAACCGGCAAGGGCTGGTGTGAGAGGACTGTGGATCTCCACAATCCCACCTCTCCCACTCCATGCGGCCGCCACTGCTTCTGCCTCCACCCCAGCCCATCAGGCTCCAGCCATGCTGGCCTTTCAGCCCCAGACACACCAAGCTTATCTCACACTGGGCCTCCTCACTCACTGTTCCCTCTACCTAGAACACCCTGAACTCCAAGACCAGCTCAATGTTCCCTCCTCAGAAAAGCCTTCCCCACCTAACCTAGACCTTGCTGTCATTTTCTCCCATCCACTTATCTCAACCTCTAATTCATTTTTTGTTTCGTTTGGGCCCCAGGTTCTGCCTTTCCTCTGGAACATGGGCTCAGGGTGGGCAAGGAACATCTGTATGATGTCCTGTGGTCACCGCAGTACTGGGGCTCTGTAGGTGTTTGTCGAGTGCTACAGTTGAGGCAAGCAAGTAAAGGAACAAATGCTGAACCCTGGATGCTCCAGGTAGCTAGAAGCCTCTGTCCCTCTGGCTCCAGCTAGCCATTTACACTCATTCTGTGCATCCCTGCAGGTACTGGGGACAGACAAAAACAGACAGCCCACATCCTCATCACTCACCCACCTCCTCACCCCACTGCTGAAAAACCCAGTCAGAGGCCAAGTAAGTGGATTATGCATACATGCATCACAAGGAACTTCCCCAAGGAAAGGGGAATGTGCAGAGCTGGCTTCCTGCAGGCTCATCCCTTCCCTCACTAAGGATCCTTCACCAGCCCCTGCCAGACTCATCTCTTGAAAATATAAAAGCCTCCAAGGGCCAGGGATTTAGCTCAGTGGTTCCGCTGCCTGCCTTGCAAGCACAAGGTCCTGAGTTTGATCCCTGGTACCAAAAAAAAAAGATTTTAAAATATAAAAGCCTCCAATGGGGGCCTTATATGCAGCTGCTTCAAATCTAAACTCCCCTTAGTCTAGCTCCTTTCTACAAATGGAGCCTCTGTTCAACCTCTAATGAGTAGCAGCATCACTGCCGGAGCTGACTTCCACATCTGAATGGCAGGCTCTCACCACTCTGCCTCCCTACAGGGCCAGGAGCTGAGGGTCACAAGAGGAGAGCTGGCTGGGTGAAGTCACAGAGGCTCCAGCTCACACTGGTGCCACATCTACCTCTGCCCTGGCCCGAGTGCTCCAAGTAGAAACAGCAGCTGCCCAGCCAGGTGGGCTGTGAGGACAGGATCCTCTCTAAGATGGGGCTCTGATGCCAAGCTTTCAGGAGAACACAGAGACCACTCCTGGAGCCCCATGACCCCCAGACTGTTCAAGCCCTTGCTGATGACTGACTGCTTTCTCTATATCACACAACTTGTCCTCATAAAGAATTCACTATTTCAGTGGTTCCGTCGCTTGCCTTGCAAGTGCAAGGACCCGAGTTCGATCCCTGATACCAAAAAAAAAAAAAAAAAAAAAAAGAATTCACTACTGCCAATGCAGCCAGCCACCTCCTCCTATATGCCAGCCACCACACCAGGAACTTCAGACACCTAACCACTAAACTACACTCACTCTGGGAACATTTATTATTGGCCCCCTTTTATCTCTGGGTAAATTGAGGCACTGGGAGGTAAAGTAATTGCTCAGAGTCACACACCTACAGAGTGGCAAAAACAGGGACTTGTTCCAGAACAGCTGCTATCCTCCCACTTAGACTGCCCTGTGAGCTGTGGTTTCATACATGGATCTCCTCTCCTTGTCTTTACAAATGTAACCCTTCCCTCACTCCCACACCACCCACTGAAAAGCACCAAGCATCAAGGAGGTGCCTGACACTGAGACTAAGCAGAGTGGAACAGATGCAGTCCTTGACTCACCAAGCTTCTGGTCTGAAGGAAGAAACAGACACAAAAGAGAATGACACTACGTGTATGACTACACTCAAATGGGATCTTGAAGGGAAGAGGGATGATATAAGGAGGATCCGAGGAACCTGACTTGGACAGGTGGTTATGGAAGGCCGACTGGAGGAAGTGACATCTGAGGTAAAACCCAATGGAAAAGTAGGAGCTGTGTGGTAGAGAGAGGTACAGGAGGGACAGCAGAGCACACAGAGGCCATGGTGTCCACTGCAGGATGTGAGAGGAAGCCACAGAAGGTAGAAGAAAAGACCAGGGAACAATAGGACCCCATGAACCATGTTAAAGATCCAACCTCCATTCTAAGAGCAATGGGGTAAGCTGAAAGCTCTCTGTAGAGAGGCATTTTAAAAGCTTATCCTGGGCCAGGGATCTAGCTCAGTGGTTCCACCACCTGCTTTGTAAGCGCAAGGTCCTGAGTTCAATCCCCAGTACCAAAAAAAAAAAAAAAGAGCTCATCCTGCTGGGAGTAATTAGCTCATGCCTGTAATTCCAGCTATTTGGGAAGCTGAGGCAGAAGCATCACAAGCTCAAGGCTAGCCTGGGCAACTTAGTGAGACCTTGTCTCAAAATAAAAAGAGGTGGGAATATAGCTCAGCCCTCCCTGGATCAATCCCTGGTTTGCGGGGGGGGGGGGGGGCAAAAAAAAAGAAAAGAGAAAAAAAAGCTCCTCCTAGCTGCTACAGGCCTTGAGAGGCAGTATGGCAGGCAAGAGGAGGCCTCAGTGCTATTCGATGAAGGGAGCAGCAAAAGAGAAGGGATAATCAGGGCTAAAGACAGTCTTGTTACAGCCTCTGGCTCTGACATTTGGTTCTGTCCACTATTCACGTATTTATTCAGCATTCACTGAGCATCACCTGTCTACAAAGTGGGGCTGAGAAGTCTGTAATAAGAGACTACCCCCAGTCCTTCTTGTGGTATCTACCTCATGCAGCCCCTCACTAAGCACCTCTGATTACTAAGTCCTCTCTACCTGGCACTGCTCCCAGGGGACTCTTATCTAATCTCACGGTTACTTAGCCAACTGATCTCCCCCAAATGCAAATGTGTGGTTCCCAGAGGTAGTGAGCAGGCCTGGGGAGGCCCCAGGGACTCACCTATCTTCAGTTCAGTAGATGAAACTGCAATGAGGTTCATGTTGTGCAGGCATACCAGGTCAATGACCCACATCTCCTGGCTGTGGGGCTGCTGGGCCTGGCTGAGCTGAAAGAAAAAGAGCAGAGGATGCTGGGGCCCAGGAAGACAGCACAGTACCTGCTAGCCTGCTCCTGCCATATGAAGCCTAAAGCCCCATTCAATATGAGATATAAAGAGCTACAGAGTGCCTTGGCCAGGGCACAGAGCTGGTAGGTGGTACAGCCAGGATTCTAACCCAGATGGTTCAGTTCCAGAGCCCACAGTCACATCTCAGGTATTTCCTACCTGGCCCAGACAAAAGGTTTGAATCTTCTGGACCTGGGGAAGGTCTGAGTGTGACAGGGAAAGGAAAGGAGGCTGGCTTCTAGCACAGGTGCTTTGCTGGATAATGATGCTACTCACTGAGACAGGGACTCCAGAGAAATAAGCCTTGTGGCCAGGGGAGCTAGTAACATGCTGTTTGCATAAGCTTGCTTAGAGGTATCTACTAGACATCCAAGTGAAGTCCTGCTTAGCAGAAGAGTAGCACAAGGCTCCCAAGGTAAAGCCTGAACCTGGGTCCATGTTCTGTGACCACAAGTCCAGGCTGCTCTGATTGGGATCCCAAGAGCAATCCCATGCTGGACACAAGTTACCTTCACTGCTGGGGTACTAAGAAACAGCTCTGCAGCCCCCTCCCCACCTGTGCTAGCCCCACTCACCCTAAAAGAGCTAATCAGCAAGGACTCAGTCCAGAACTGAAGGCCCCCATCCTTAGTGACAGTCAGGAAGCGTGTGATCTTCTTGAACCACTGGATTAAAAACTCTACTTTCACGATCTCACACCCATGCCGTCTGTGGACAGTAAGAAACAAGTAGAAACAGCTCAGAAAGGACGGGGCATCTGCATCAGGACAAAGAACCACAGAGGACAAAGGTTAAATGTAAGCCAGAGTACCCTTACTCATACACAGATGCAGACCAAGCAACTGAGCCTGGCTCTAGGAGATGTGGGACTCCACTCTCTCCTCTAGGTAGACTTCCACTAGATCAATGACAGCCACAAGAAAGGGAGCCTCAGTTGGGGCTGGGGGTAGAGCACTGGCCTATCATGTGCAGGGCCCTAGGTTCCATCCCTAACACAAAAAGAAAGAGGGAAGGGAAGGGAAGGGGAGGGGA